GAAATGACAGTCATGTTAGATGGAGTTGTCATTGCCAAAATTAAATAAACGACGTGGCCGTATCAGTGTTGTTGTAAAGAAGTACCCCATTCTAATGACGGGTACATGCGGTCAATTTCGCAGTTAAATCTGTTATCCGATACCACACTGCCATCCATATTCCCAATGAGGCCGTAATTTTAAGAAAAAATCGCATGAGCATGTTGAAATGAGGCATTGAATCTAGCAGGAGAAAGTGTGTGAAAGGCGACTTATGGGGGCAGCGGTTAGGTGAGTGGTAGAAACAACACCCACACATCCATTGTCGCTATATAAGTGAACGGCTATCGAGATTGAGCAAGCAGGTATTAGTATCTCCATGAAATTCCTCAAAGTTTGTCTTTTGCTCTTACTGCCCTTGTCTTTGCCGCCGGTTGCCGATCGAAATCAAAGAGGACAAAGAGCAGTGACTCAAAATCACCAGAGGTGACAGCTACACCACAGATTTTGTCAACCACAAGGCCACGCAGGAGTGGGAGGATAACCTCACAAATGTCCCTTCTGTCACCCTATACTCCACTTCTTCTCTTCAACTCTCTCCTTATTTTCATCCCCTCGTATATGCTTCCCTAACTCCTAACGCATTTGACTCATTCTTCACAATATTTCAGTCTTCAGCTTCTTAATTTTTATGACATTCTTGTCACTATGTTCTGATAAATTTATTCCACAAATATTTTCCAAATATATTCTTTTATTTTATTGTGTTCTTCAGTTAGTATTCATGCCATTCGGTCATTGTTCAAGTTAAGAATGCTAGTCCATAAATTGAACTAGTGCCTCTTACAGCTTCATTTTTGCAGGTCTCTGGTCGGAATAATTCTGCACTGCTCTAATCTAGTGTTACCCACACTAAATTTTGAATGCTAGAGAGCTATATGAACCGAAGGCTATAGCAGCCTTTTTAATTTGCCAGGTGTGCGGCCTCACCCACTCAGTGCTATAAGAAGTTAAAATATGCTCCCCAAATAAAAGTTGCGGTTTATGCGTTGAAGCTAGAGGAATTGAACTGATTGGAAGTTGTAGTCGTTGCTGGTGGATGCGCTGCTGTGTATGCAAGCAGTGCAGGCCAATGCTATGTATATGTCTATAGTTTTGGCTGTGCATTCTCTAGATGTGATTTGAGAGAAACGATTCCTGATAATAAATAATTTTAGGAGGAATATGAGAGCACAGCATACTTTCTTCGGTGAAGCAGCAAATTTGACTGTTTAGAGTGAGACCTTGAAATTCGGAAGAGATTGAATGCACATTTGAGTGCATTTGTTTAATAATTATTTACTACCAGATTCGATGTCACCTATTTTGGTTCCTCAAGTGAAGAAATGCGTCAAAAGCAAAATAATTCACAGTTTTGTTTCCAGTTGCCTTCAAATAATGACCTAAATGTCGTCCGAAATTCGTCGCATCTATTGACCTTCAACACATTGGAAGGAGTCACAGTCTGGTGACACGGCATCCTTATTTACGAAATCGCCATAACCTCAGGCAATGGTGCTGACATCAATCCACAATATCAAGCTATATGAACAGAAAGCAAGTTGGGAAACTTGTGAGGTGGTGAATAGGAGCAACGTGTACAGGAAAACAGCTACTAGTTTGTCTGCAATTGAAAAATAGAAGTGAGTATTAGAAAATTCCTATTTCCCACACTAAGGAAAATCTGATAATTTGCAAAATCCACTACTGAATCTGGTTTGTTTAATCTGCCGTTTATACAGAGGATTGCGGTTGATGTGATGTCAGGCGCTAGACCCGATTGCCAACATTTGTTCATTCGTGCGGTGGTGACCACTGCAAGCGTGGGTCAATGACATGGATATGCCTAATTCGCTGATGCTAGTGCAAAACATGAAAAAAACGACAGCTCTAATCCCAAACATCTGCGAGATGGGTGTACTGATGCTGTAACAATATTGGCGACTTCATTTGTATGTCTGACAATTGAAAACTGTGAATGCTGGGGCACTTGGTTAGTGTTCATCCCATCGTAGGATTTCACACAAATACCATTTATTCCACTCCTTATGTCACGTGTCCTGCTGTGTGAGAGTCAGCATTTGCCTTTTGATCCTGGTGCATAACAAATAGCAAGTGATATCAGCCAAGTCGCTGCTGTTTTGGTGTGGTTCGCCAATGCCTTTGATTTGTAGTTTCTGTGTTATGACGGTCTGTGTCTGCATACAAGTTAGACCACTATTCAAACAATGAGAAGGTGAAGATTTCGAGACAGACGTCTTGAATGACGAAGGCGGTGGAGTCAACACACGTGGTGGGTGTGTGTATTGGGTGTCCCGTCAGGCTGATTGAGGTTACCAAGTCCGCAGCCACTGACTACATTCACTGCTTGTAGTGCTGGTGATTGGGGAGGGGTTCCAAGTGCTATGAATAGTTAAGGTTTTTCTATCATTGCCTTAATTCGGATCGCATTTCGTTGCATTGGCAGCATCTGAATTACTGTGCTTTTTTGCTTTGGCGAATACTTTCAATGTGAATTTGTGCAAGTCGAAAACGTTTAAAGTGTTTCAATGCACGACACGGTGATATAAACGCGTGATAGCAATTGCAACGAACAATGCAATTCACATCGACATTAATATCGCTTTCACACTTTAATCAAAATATCAAATAACAAAGAATTTATTTGGCGAAAAATTGATGGTCAAATAATTTGCAAATAATGCGATTTTTCCATGGAAATGACAGTCATGTTAGATGGAGTTGTCATTGCCAAAATTAAATAAACGACGTGGCCGTATCAGTGTTGTTGTAAAGAAGTACCCCATTCTAATGACGGGTACATGCGGTCAATTTCGCAGTTAAATCTGTTATCCGATACCACACTGCCATCCATATTCCCAATGAGGCCGTAATTTTAAGAAAAAATCGCATGAGCATGTTGAAATGAGGCATTGAATCTAGCAGGAGAAAGTGTGTGAAAGGCGACTTATGGGGGCAGCGGTTAGGTGAGTGGTAGAAACAACACCCACACATCCATTGTCGCTATATAAGTGAACGGCTATCGAGATTGAGCAAGCAGGTATTAGTATCTCCATGAAATTCCTCAAAGTTTGTCTTTTGCTCTTACTGCCCTTGTCTTTGCCGCCGGTTGCCGATCGAAATCAAAGAGGACAAAGAGCAGTGACTCAAAATCACCAGAGGTGACAGCTACACCACAGATTTTGTCAACCACAAGGCCACGCAGGAGTGGGAGGATAACCTCACAAATGTCCCTTCTGTCACCCTATACTCCACTTCTTCTCTTCAACTCTCTCCTTATTTTCATCCCCTCGTATATGCTTCCCTAACTCCTAACGCATTTGACTCATTCTTCACAATATTTCAGTCTTCAGCTTCTTAATTTTTATGACATTCTTGTCACTATGTTCTGATAAATTTATTCCACAAATATTTTCCAAATATATTCTTTTATTTTATTGTGTTCTTCAGTTAGTATTCATGCCATTCGGTCATTGTTCAAGTTAAGAATGCTAGTCCATAAATTGAACTAGTGCCTCTTACAGCTTCATTTTTGCAGGTCTCTGGTCGGAATAATTCTGCACTGCTCTAATCTAGTGTTACCCACACTAAATTTTGAATGCTAGAGAGCTATATGAACCGAAGGCTATAGCAGCCTTTTTAATTTGCCAGGTGTGCGGCCTCACCCACTCAGTGCTATAAGAAGTTAAAATATGCTCCCCAAATAAAAGTTGCGGTTTATGCGTTGAAGCTAGAGGAATTGAACTGATTGGAAGTTGTAGTCGTTGCTGGTGGATGCGCTGCTGTGTATGCAAGCAGTGCAGGCCAATGCTATGTATATGTCTATAGTTTTGGCTGTGCATTCTCTAGATGTGATTTGAGAGAAACGATTCCTGATAATAAATAATTTTAGGAGGAATATGAGAGCACAGCATACTTTCTTCGGTGAAGCAGCAAATTTGACTGTTTAGAGTGAGACCTTGAAATTCGGAAGAGATTGAATGCACATTTGAGTGCATTTGTTTAATAATTATTTACTACCAGATTCGATGTCACCTATTTTGGTTCCTCAAGTGAAGAAATGCGTCAAAAGCAAAATAATTCACAGTTTTGTTTCCAGTTGCCTTCAAATAATGACCTAAATGTCGTCCGAAATTCGTCGCATCTATTGACCTTCAACACATTGGAAGGAGTCACAGTCTGGTGACACGGCATCCTTATTTACGAAATCGCCATAACCTCAGGCAATGGTGCTGACATCAATCCACAATATCAAGCTATATGAACAGAAAGCAAGTTGGGAAACTTGTGAGGTGGTGAATAGGAGCAACGTGTACAGGAAAACAGCTACTAGTTTGTCTGCAATTGAAAAATAGAAGTGAGTATTAGAAAATTCCTATTTCCCACACTAAGGAAAATCTGATAATTTGCAAAATCCACTACTGAATCTGGTTTGTTTAATCTGCCGTTTATACAGAGGATTGCGGTTGATGTGATGTCAGGCGCTAGACCCGATTGCCAACATTTGTTCATTCGTGCGGTGGTGACCACTGCAAGCGTGGGTCAATGACATGGATATGCCTAATTCGCTGATGCTAGTGCAAAACATGAAAAAAACGACAGCTCTAATCCCAAACATCTGCGAGATGGGTGTACTGATGCTGTAACAATATTGGCGACTTCATTTGTATGTCTGACAATTGAAAACTGTGAATGCTGGGGCACTTGGTTAGTGTTCATCCCATCGTAGGATTTCACACAAATACCATTTATTCCACTCCTTATGTCACGTGTCCTGCTGTGTGAGAGTCAGCATTTGCCTTTTGATCCTGGTGCATAACAAATAGCAAGTGATATCAGCCAAGTCGCTGCTGTTTTGGTGTGGTTCGCCAATGCCTTTGATTTGTAGTTTCTGTGTTATGACGGTCTGTGTCTGCATACAAGTTAGACCACTATTCAAACAATGAGAAGGTGAAGATTTCGAGACAGACGTCTTGAATGACGAAGGCGGTGGAGTCAACACACGTGGTGGGTGTGTGTATTGGGTGTCCCGTCAGGCTGATTGAGGTTACCAAGTCCGCAGCCACTGACTACATTCACTGCTTGTAGTGCTGGTGATTGGGGAGGGGTTCCAAGTGCTATGAATAGTTAAGGTTTTTCTATCATTGCCTTAATTCGGATCGCATTTCGTTGCATTGGCAGCATCTGAATTACTGTGCTTTTTTGCTTTGGCGAATACTTTCAATGTGAATTTGTGCAAGTCGAAAACGTTTAAAGTGTTTCAATGCACGACACGGTGATATAAACGCGTGATAGCAATTGCAACGAACAATGCAATTCACATCGACATTAATATCGCTTTCACACTTTAATCAAAATATCAAATAACAAAGAATTTATTTGGCGAAAAATTGATGGTCAAATAATTTGCAAATAATGCGATTTTTCCATGCATTCAAACTATTTAAATTATTGGCGGGAGTTGCAATGACATCCCAACTTACATGACTGTCATTTCAGCAGATAAGTTACCCCAGGCTTTCCTGACGCACATGCTCCCAAATACTTCATTGCGGTTAAGA